AAAAAAAAAAAAAATATCACAAAGAAGTAAAAAATGACTTCTACATAAAAGAATTACCTTCAAATCGCTATCAAAATACCAACAGCATTTATCACAAAACTAGACCAAGTAATACTAAAATTTGTATGGAACCACCAAAAGACTCTGAAGAGTCAAAGTAATCTTGAGAAAGAAAAACAAAGGTAAGAGGTATCACAATTCCAGATTTCAAGATCTACTACAAAGCTACAGTAATCAAAACAATACTGTACTGGCACAAAAACAGATCAATGGAAGAAAATAGAGTCCAGAAATAAATCCACACTTATATGGTCAATTAATCTAGGACAAAGGAGGCAAGAATAAACAATTCTTCATTAAATGGTGCTGGGAAAACTGGACAGTTACATGCCAAAGAATGAAACTGGACCACTTTCTAACTCCATATACAAAAAATAAACTCAATATGGATTAGAGATCTTAATGTGAGACCAAACCATAAAAATCCTAGAAAAAAACACAGGTAATAATTTCTCTGACATCAGCTGTAGCAACATTTTTCTAGATATGTCTCCAGAGGCAAGGGAAAGAAAAGCAAAAATAAACTATTGGGACTACATCAAAATAAAAAGCTTTACACAGCAAAGGAAACCATCCACAAAATGAAAAGGCAACCTACTGATTAGGAGAAATATTTGCAAATGATACATCTGATAAGGAGTTTGTACCCAAAATACGTAAAGAACTTATGTAACTCAACACCAAAAAACAAAACAATCCTATTAAAAAATGGGCACAGATGGGGTGCCTGGGTGGCTCAGTTAGTTAAATGTCTGACTCCTGATCTCAGTTCAGGTCTTGATCTCAGGGTCATGAATTCAAGCCCTGCACTGGGCTCCATGCTGGGCCCGGAGCCTATTTAAAAAAAACAAAAACAAAAACAAAAAAAGGGGCACAGGACCTGCCTGCATAGACATTCTTCAAAAGAAGATATACAGATGAAAAACAGACATATGAAAAGATGCTCAACATAACTAATTATCAGAGAAATGCAAATCAAAACCACAAGATATCACAACCAAAATGGCTAAATACAAAACAAAAGAAATAACAAGTGTTAATAAGGATATAGAGAAAAAGGAACCCTTGTGCACTAATGGTAGGAATGTAAATTAGTGCAGCCACTGTGGAAAATAGTAGGGATGTTTTTCCAAAAATTAAAAATAAAAATACCATATGGTTGAATAAATTCCAGTACTAGGTATTTACACAAAAAAAATGAAAACACTAATTCAAAAGATATATGTACCACCCCGATATTTACTGCAGCATTATCTACAACAGCTAAGATATGGAAGCAACCTAAGTGTCCATCAGTACATGAATGGATAAGGAAGATGTGATACACACAATGGAATATGACAAAGCCATTAAAAGGTTGAGATTGGGCTGTTTGTGACAACACGGATGGACCTAGAAGGTATTATGTTAAGTGAAGTAAGTCAAACTGAGAGAGACAAATACCATATGATTTCACTAATATATGGAATCTTAAGAAAGCAAATGAATAAACAAATGAAGAGCATAATCAGACCTATAAATACGAAGAACTGATGGCTTCCAGAGGGGAGTAGGAGGACAGACAGAGTGGGAGGAGAGTGGGAGATACACGCTTCCAGTTATGGAATGAATAAGTCATGGGAATAAAAGGCACAGCATAAGGAATAGTCAACGGTACTGTAATAGCATTATATAGTGACAAATGGCAGCTCTACTTGTGGTGAGCATAGCACAATGTACAAACTTGTTGAATCACTGTTGTATACCTGAAACTAATGTAACATTGTGGGTCAACCACACTCAAATAAAAACAAATTTTTAATAAAAATAAAAGAGGTAACTTCAGCCTGCACACTGAAATAGCTTCTGGGTATTTCTGAACTCAGAGTAAATTAACTAACTGAATCATAAGCATTGCTGGTTGAAAGGAAATCCCGGAAATCAGGAACCCCAAAACACGGCAAAGATGATGCTAACTATCCAGATCATCTACCTATAGGGCTTAAGACAATCTAGACAGCCTACTACATACAGTTTTTCCTGCTCTTACTAGCATGTGAAGGGGCTGGGCCCTTGACAGGAAGGGGAGGTGGAAAAGGAAGTAGGAGTAGGATTCAACATGTACAGCACAATCTAGTGAGGCCACCATTAAGAAAATCAAAGAGAACACTATGTAATCATATAGAAAGATTTTTTTCAATATACTAATCTTTAAAAACAGAGTACTACTGGGGCACCTAGATGGCTCAGTCCGTTAAGTGTCTGTCTTCGGCTCAGGTCATAATCTCTGGGTCCTGGGATTGAGTCCCATGTCAGGCTCTCTGCTCAGCAGGGAGTCTGCTTCTCCCTCTGTGCTCTCTCTCCCTCCCTCACTCTCTCTCAAATAAATAAATGAAATCTTTAAAAACCAAGTGCTACTATATAAAGAACTCAATAATAAAAAAACAAGTATCCCAATTTAAAAATGAGCACAGATTGGAGCACCTGGGTGGCTCAGTCGGTTAAGCATCCGACTCTTGATCTCAGCTCAGGTCTTGATCTCAGGGTCGTGAGTTCAAGCCCCGCGTTGGGCTCCACGCTGGGCGTGGAGCCTACTTAGAAAAAAAAATCAAAATTAAAAAAAATGAGCACAGACGTGAACACATGTCTCTAAAGAAAATATATAAATAAGCACATGAAAAGATACTCAGTATCACTGGTCATGAAAGAAATCCAAATCCAAATCAGGAGATACCAATTCAAGCTAACTAGACTATCTAATAACAAGTGTCAGAGAGGATATAGAGAAACTAAAACCCTCACAGAATGTTGGTGAAAAGACACAACGCTGGACTGCCTGGATGGCTCAGTTGGTAGAGCATGTGACTCTTAATCTCAGGGTTGTAAATTCAAGCCCCACATTGGGTACAGAGATTACTTAAAAGTAAAACAAAAAATCTTAAAAAAAAAAAAGAAAGAAAAAAAAGAAAATACAAAATGTTGCTACCACTTTTGAAACAGTTTGGTAGTTCCTCAAAAAGTTAAACACAGAATTACCATATATTCCAGCAATTCCACTTGTAAATGTAAATCCAAGACAAATGAAAACTTACGTCCACACAAAATCTTACATACGAATGTTCTTAGCACCATTACTTAAAACAGCCAAAAAACAGAAAACAACCTAAATGCCCTGAATGGATAAACAAAATGTAGTATGATGGAATATTTGGCAAGAAAAAGAAATATTTGACACATGCTACAACATAGATGAGCCTTGAAAACATGCTAAAAGAAACCAGACACAAAAGGCCACATATTATATGATTCGATCTATATGAAACGTCCAAAATAGGCAAAGCTACAGAGATGAAAGTAGATTAGTGGTTGCCTAGGGCTGGGAAGGGTTGAAGGATGTGGGGAGTGGCTACTCATGGTGAAGGTTACACAACTTGAGGAATATACTAAATGCCACTCAAGTATACACTTCAAATGGGTTAACTGTAGGGTATAGAATTATTTCAGTAAAACTGTAATTTTTAAAAGTACTGAACAAGGGGCGCCTATTTAACGCAGTAGGTTAAGCATCCGACTCCTGGTTTCAGCCCAGGTCATGATCTCAGGGTCATGGAATTGTGCCCTGCGCGGGGCTCCAGGCTCAGCCCAGAGTCTGCTTGCAACTCTCTCTTCCTCTCCCTCTCCACCAGGCACTCTCTCTCTCTCTAACAAATAATCTTAAAAAATAAGTAAATAAATAAATGTGCTAAACAGTATATATGATATAGTTTGCTTATAATTTTGTTCTTTCTGAAAGGAATAACATGTATTTATATACGTGTGTGTGTGTGTACTGATATATCTATGTGCACACACAGCCCCACATTTAGATGCTTACGTGTATAAAACACTTCTGGAAGTCCACAATAAAAACTTAATGGCAGTTTACCACTAGACATGAGATTAGGGGACTGGGAACTAAAGAAGTTTATTAAATTTTATACCTTATGGGCAATGTCTTATTTTTTTGCCACATGCATGTACAGCTTTCTAAAAAATGTTTGCTTGAATATTCATGTACACAGACACATATAAAAAATACCTATGAAGAAAACACTGATTAAGTAAATAAAGTTAACCCTTGAACAACATGGGGGTTAAGGGCACAAACCTCCCATGCAGTAGAAATTCTGCATATCTGATTCCCAAAAAAACCTAACTACTAGTAGTCTACTGTTGACCAGATGCCCTACTGGTGACATAAACAGATTAACATATATTTTGTAAGTTATATGTATTAGATACTGTATTCTTACAATAAAGTAAGCTAGAACAAATAAAATGTTATTAAGGAAATCATAAGAGACGCCTGAGTGGCTCAGTCGGTTAAGCGTCTGCCTTTGGCTCAGGTCATGATCTCAGGGTCCTGGGATAGAGCCCTGCATGGGGCTACCTGCTCAGTGGGGAGTCTGCTTCTCCCTCTCACTCTCCCTCTGTCTCAAATAAATATTTTTAAAAAAGAAAAGAAAATCATAAGGAAGAGAAAATACATCTATAGGACTGTACTATGTTTATAAAAAAAATTCCATGTATAATTAAGTGTAAGCTTATATACAAGTGGTATCTGGATGTTCTTTGTACTATTTCTTATTCTTGTAAGTCTTCTGTAACTTTGAAATTATTTCCAAATAAAACATATTTTAAAAGTTAAAAAGAAAAAAAATCCATTGTATAGGGGCACCTGGGTGGCTCAGTCGGTGAAGCATCCAACCCTTGATTACAGCTTGGGTCATGATCTCAGGATGAATATCAAGCCCCACATCAAGCTCCACGCTCAGCACAGAGTCAGCTTGGAATTATCGCTCTCCCTCCCCACTCGCCACCACCCCCCGCCTCTTAATTAATTCTTTTTTAAAAATCCATGTATACTGAATCCATGCAGTTCAAACCCATGTTATTCTGGGTCAACTAAACAGAAAATAATAATGATGACTGAAGCTAGTTGATGGATTTATTAGTATTTCTTTTATAGCTCATTCTACTTTTTGAAACTCTTTAATACTAAATTAAAACAATTTTAACTGAATATTCCATTTGAAATGCTAATGCAACTTCTCCTGTAAAAGTAATTTTGTAGCTGTTTAAGAGAACATAATTTACCTCTTTGACTTTCTACTACTACTTCTTTGTTTACAAACAAATTGGGAACTTCCTGATGAACACCAAACCTGCTGGTCCCAAAAGTCTTAAGATTTGGTTTAGGCTTAGCAAATCTACTTCTCATTCTCAAATTACCGGTCACTTCAAAAGTTGTATTCCTAGAAAAAGACGGGAAGAAAGAAATTCATCAACCGTGTAATCACTCTCTCACCTTCATACATTCTGATACAGTTACGTGCCACCTTCTCAGGTGCCACAATATCTGTAAGTGTTCATTTTTTAATGCTGAAAACACAGAGTGGTAAATTTTACTGACAGTCTAGAGAAGGAAAGAGAATCTGGGCCAAGTTTGTAAAATAGAGACCATATTTACATAAAAAACTTTCATTAAAGCTTCAAAGATGCACATATTACATTTACTTTAATATGCAAACCATTAGGGGCATCTGGCTGGCTCAGTGAGTATAGGATGTGGCTCTTGATCTCAGAGTCCTGAGATCAAGCCCCATGCTGGATGTTGAGTGTACATTAAAAAAATAAATTAAAAAAAATGCAAACCACGGGCAACTTGGTGGCTCAGTCAGTTAAGCGTCTGCCTTTAGCTCAGGTCATGATCCCAGGGTCCTAGGATCGAGCCTCATGTCAGGCTCTCTGCTCAGTGGGGAGTCTGCTTATCCCTCTTCCTCTGCCCCTCCCCCCCCACTCATGTTCACTCTCTATCTCAAATAAATAAATAAAATCTTAAAAAAAAAAGCAAACCATTAAACTAAAATCAAACCAGCCTATCCTCACTTTGAAGGCTGAGAAACTGGAACACCTGGGTGGCTCAGTCAGTTAAGTGTCAGCCTTCTGCTGAGATCATGATCCCGGAGTCCCAGGATTGAGCCCCATGTCAGGCTCCCTGCTCAGCAGGGAATCTGCTTCTCCCTCTCCCTCTGCCCTCCCCCTGCTCCTTCTCTCTCTCTCTTGCTCACACTCTCTCTCTCAAATAAATAAATAAAATCTTTAAAAAAATAAAGGCTGAGAAATTAGCAGTGCCTACTTTACACTTACACAAGTATTACTCAAAAGCTATCAACTAAATTGATAGTTGGTTTAAATGTATTTATTAATTGAATACTATAAAACTCAAGAGTTTAATAAAGCAAAATAAACCTGGTTGATACAGCGTTTTCCTTTACTTTCTCCACTAAACCAATTTCTTCTTTAGTACTTTGCTCTTCCAATACAATCTTGTTTTCTTCTAATGAAGAAGGAGATGTACTATTGACAGGTGAAGAAAGTTCCTGACATTCACGAACAATTTTGTGATTTACATTATCTGGGCTAAAAGGAACACAGCTTTTATCCTTTGAATGAACATCAAGAAGTACACATACTCCTATTACAGAAAAGAACAGAAAATTAAAATTGACCCAATACAAGTAGATGTCCAAAGAAAATAAATCCCTCAACATTAAGCAATTGTAAAATTCTATATTATTTTTAAAGTTTACTCTTTTTGGTTCTGAATTTCAATATATGATCAGGGTGCCTGGATGGCTCAGTCGGTTAAAGGTCATGATCTCAGGGCCCTGGTACCAAGCCCCACAGTGGGCTCCCTGCCCAGCAGGGAGTCTGCTTCTCCCTCTGCCCCTCCCCCCCACTCATGTGTGTGCTCTCTCTCTCTCAAAAATCTTTAAAAAAAAATAAATATATAATCATATAGTTTATGCCAGAGATTTGACTTGTTCTAAGCCTAATAATTCTTACAGACTAGAATTTTTCTGCTATTAGAAATAAAAATGAGGGATGCCTGGGTGGCTCAGTCAGCTGGGCGTCTGCCTTCGGCCCAAGTCATGATCCCAGAGTCCTAGGACCATGTCCCGCTTCGGGCTCCCTGCTCAGCGGGGAGCCTGCCTCTCCCTCTGCCTGTGCTCTCCCTGCTTGTGCTCTCTCTGACAAATACATAAATAAAATCTTAAAAAAAAAAAAAGTAAAAGTGAATCTGTTACCTTGACTAACTACATAGCCTCAAATGAGTTTCAAGATAGGATCACCTTCATTTACAAATTTTTAAAACCCATTTTTATGTACTAGAGATTTATTACAGGCTCCAAAGCAATCCTCTGCCGTTGACAAAGGAGCCATATATAGGCACCTGCCTGGCTCAGTCAGTAGAACATGACTCTTGATCTTGGGGTCATGAGTTCAAGCCCCCCATTGGGTATATATTTTACTCAAAAAAAAAAAGAGAGCGAGAGAGAGAGAGAAATGAGACTGTGTAAGGAACACAGACCAGAAAATTTACTGTATGGTGACTAATATAACATAATAAAAAAAAAAATTCCTGATAAATATATAGTTATGGGCCTGGAAGTCTAACACCTAAAATAAATGGCAGGCCACTCATCTCCAGACAAAATAATTAAGAGGAATATAATTAACTATCCATTTAGTAGACTTAAAATAGAAGGTATTCCATAAGGTCAGCCTAAAATACTGTGAAAATCTAGGTTGACCTATCTTTTGGCTCAGTCCAAACTAACAGAATAGTCGCAATTAAATTATTTCAATGACTGCTATTGTCCCTTCATACTATATGCGATTATCAGGTTAACTACAAAGATAATCCAAAGCAGAAGCTCCTTTGCTAAAGAAATATATGTCAAGTGATCAGTGACCAATGAGCTCAGTTAACCAATGTTTATGATGAGAAAAGTAGAGGACTCACTAGATTATTCCAGGAAAACAAAGTTTTCTTAATAAACCAAGTGCACTATTTTGAAATGGTGGCCACTACATCTAAAGGGACTAAGTTAGACGGATCAACGCACACGTTAACCTTTTTCTGGAAAAAAACAAAGTTGGCAATGCCTACTTCAAATGTAAAAGGCAGGTACTGACTTATTACTCAACTGTGGGTATAATTTCTTAAAAGTTTTATTTTAAGAGGCTTTTTTCAGTAGGACTTAACTTTCATTCTTACCATCACTCTGTTCTGTACCGATCTCTGATTGCAACACTAGATCTCCCATTGTAAGTAAAGTTATAGCAGCTTCAGTGCTTCCATCATTGGTACCTTGTGAGGAAATACACCAACATTAAAACAGAAAAAGCTGGAAATTGAAGTTTGCTTACTTAGAAAACATTTTTAACTCAAGTATTTATCCTTTGGAACAAGTTTCAATGTCCTGCATACCACTAATTCCTCACTAGAGCAGTGTTTGGTTACTACAAAAAAAAGAAATCATTAATTGTTAGCTTTTACTCATTGAAAATGCCTCCCTCCTATTAGATAACTTAATACCTTCAAAGAAAATGTATCTGTGCAGATCAGAGGAGAGGAAATAAGTAATATTTCTTTATTAAACATTTAACTCTTAACTCACTTCATAAGGTAATTATTCCAAGAATCCAAGTTTCTCCTGGAGATAACACATTCAACAGTTAAAACTTTTTGTTCAACTCTCCAGTGAAATTACTCATTTGCTAACTAACACCAATACTGAATCACTTTGTTAGTGTTAACTAAGTAGTTTTAGCAGTGTCCTTATTAACAGTTACCTGTTTCATCTTGGGCATGTTCACCTGTGTTCATTTCCTAAAAGAGGAAAAATAAGCAATGTCTTATGTATTTTCCCAAATATATGTTCTGTGTCTCAAAAAACCATGATGTTTTACAGTTCCTCAATGTTCTGATTACAAAGGAGTGGAAACTGTTTTTTTCCCATACAATTATTCATTAACATTTCATATAGAAATAATTTAAAAGCCAAGTTATTTTGTCTCTTGCTCCTTATTTTACCTTTTCCTTGTATGACATGCAGATTTTTAACTCTAATCATATAGCATTTACCATGTGCACCTACCGTTCTTAATTTACTTCTTCACTTTCATAATCCTTCAACTTCAGTCATATCTGCCATAGTTTAAACCAGTGGAAACCAAAGACTGAAGAATACTGCCAATTTTTTACATTAGGTTGGTTAAAACTTAAATGAACTTTAACAAATGAAGAAGTTACAAGATTTATGTCCAATATGACATCATAAGGGGCTCTGCTGACCCTATTAAACACAAACATGTAAAGCCTCTGTAAATGGTCCTAGGGCGAAAGAAACATCTTTTTGAGAAAACTGATGAAAACAGAGTAACAAAGCGGAGAGCCTGTGGTATTTGAACTAAGACTGCTCTCTCCCCCTCCTTCCTCTCAGCTCAGTGAAGCAGAGACCCCACCTCAAAACCTGCAACCAAGAAAATAGGGTCTTTTCTCTTTACAGGCCCCAGCTGGAGGGCTTTCTTCCTAGGAAGAACAGGACTTCAGCTCCTGACACCACAAGAATCTGGTGTCAGATTTGTAATAGAAAATAGAATTATTATGAACTTGCACACAAAAAAAACTCAATAAAATACCAGCAAACCAAATCCAGCAACATATAAAACTTGCAGGCCACAGCCAATTAGGATTTATCCCAGGGATGCAATTTTTTAACATCAAAATTCAATGTAATGCATCATATCAATACAATAAAAAGGTAAAATCACCTCATCATGAGGGCTGAGATGAAATGGTTCAATGTAATGCATCATATCAATACAATAAAAAGGTAAAATCACCTCATCATCTCAATAGATGCAGAAAAAGCATATGACAACTTCCAACACCCTTTCATGATAATACTGTCACGCAAACTAGGAAGAGACTAGAACTTCTTCAATTTGATAAAAATAAAACATCTATGAAAAGTCCACAGCTAACATCAAACTTAATGGTGAAAGACTGGATACTTTAAGACCAGTAATGAGACAAAAATGCTCACTCTTGCCACTTTTGTTCACCAGTGTACTGGAGGTTCTAGCGAGGGCAATTTGGTAAGCAACAGAAATAAAAGATATCCAGATTGAAAAGTATTGTAAACTGGGGTGCCTGGGTGGCTCAGTCAGTTAAGCGTCTGCCTTCGGCTCAGGTCATGATCCCAGGGTCTTGGGATCCAGCCCTGCATCAGGTTCCTTGCTAAGCGGGGAACCTGCTTCTCCCTCTCCCTCTGCCTGCTGCTCCCCCTGCTTGTGCTCTGTCAAATAAATAAAA